GTCCCAGCCAGGCCAGGATTCCCTCCCTCTTGGCTGGACCAAATTCTCCCAGGGGTCGGGCTGTGGGCTCGATTCACCTCCCACCTCCCTTCCAAGCCCCCACTGCTCTGCCACCTCAGCTGCAGCTCGCCCCGGTGAAGAGCAGTGACCCCCCCCAGCAGAGGCTGTCCCCATCCCTGGCCACATGCACTCGTGCTCCCCAAGGAGACCCCCTCAGCTGTGTCTGGCGCTCCAGGGATTCCAGGCTTAGCACCACCCGAGTCCCCTTTGCCACCTGCCCCCAGCCCTGCCTCGCAAAGGAAGAGCCGAGACGGGAACCCAGGCGCCCTAGTGTCGGCAAGCACAAACCCACAGCCCCCTGCCCCGGCCCCCGCCCCGCATCTGCTCCCTCACTGCGCACTGAGAAATCTGGCCTCCTGTCCTGTCCAGGGGGCGGGCATAATCCGTACATGGGTGAATGTACTGGACCCCGGACGGCCAGCCAAGAGCAACAGGCCCCAGGCTGCCTGGGAGTGGGACAGTGGGTTTAGGAACCTGGCCATTCGTTCAGGAGCTGCAGAGGGTGCTGGTCAATAGCACAGTTGTGACCCTGTCGTCTGCCAAAGGGCAGAGTCTGCATATGTGGATCCTTGGTCGTGTGATGTGTGTGGGGGGTGAATCCGGGAGGGGTGGGGTCATACAGGGACGCAGTTCCTGTCTGCCCGCCCTCTGCACAAAAGCCAGATGCAGGGAGATAAGGGTGCAAAACTCTGTGCTTTGCCAAGGTGGGCGCGTCTCTTTATGCCCATTTTACAGATGGGCAGACTGAGGCCCTGAGCTGGGCCATGATTTTGTGCGAGGCCGGCCAGCAGGACAGTGGCAGACCTGGGCAGCGCATAGTTCCTGCCGGCCTATCCCATGGCTCACCCACCTGGCCACGTTGCCCTGGGATCAAGATTTCCAAATGTGACTCGGTGCCCCCATTCCATCACCTTACAGGGTCTGGCTGGTTATCGAGTGTCTAATGCAGAGCACCCCAAAACTGGAGTCCCTGCAAATCACTGGGCTCCTTTCCCCGCTGACCCTGCACTGCAACAGGGCCGGGGGGCGTCACAGACCTGGAGGGACGGCTTCAGAGGCGCACTCTGGAGCCTGCCTGGCGATGCAGCTCCTCCCACTCCCTTCCCGCGGAGGCGCTGGGCTTGTGAACACGTTTCCGCGGGGGCCCAGCGCCAGGTGCCTGCTCTAGCTGGCTGCTTGCTCCGTGGCTCGCTGACGTGGCCAGTGCTCACCGCTGGCTGGCACCCGCCAGCATTCCACGGCGGGGCCGCTCCCCACAGGGACTCCTGACCCCGGAAGGGAGATAAGCGGCAGCAGCTGATAAGTTTCCAATCTCGGTGTAGTCAGGGGCTATAAAGGACGGGTAATTACCTGCAGGTCGGACATGAGAGGGTCACGCACAACCTCAGCGGAGCGCAAGCCCGTGGGAACTGCGGCACGACTGGATCCCAGGGGCCCGTGCACGCGGGGCCCGATCCATCCCAGGCGCCAGTGGCCTCCCCCCGGTGACTCTCGCCAAGCAGGTCAGTGGCTGCGCAGTGAAGGCCTGCAGGCGGCATTCGCACCGGCTGCGCAGAAGTGGCTTCCGTGCGCCAGAGGAATCGCACCTGCTTCCGCCAGGTGTGACTTGGCCCTTGCAGCTGGGCCGGGGTGCCTGGAAGCGACCGATACAGCTGCAGGCACTCTCCGGGGAGCAGGTGGGGTCCAGCCAGCAGCGCCCGAGGGGGGGGCCCAGGAGCCAGGACTCCTGGGTTCTCCAAGCAGGAAGGCAGTGGGGGGTTGTGATTAGGAGAGGGACTCGGACCTCCTGGCCTCGGTTCCGGGAGGAGCGTGGGGTGTAGCAGTTAGAGGAAGAGACAAGGCAGCTGGGGTCCATTCCACACTCTAGGCTCTTGGGCTAATCTGTCAGACAATTTCCCCACTATAAAAGGGGGTGTCAATATGTACCCAGCCTCCCCAGGCTGAGATAAGAGTATTTGCTGGGAGGAACAGCTGTCACTCATGTGAACACAATCATGAGGACTGATGTGTTTAAACCCCGGGCCCCATCCAGCCTTAGCAAGTGACACTGGGTTCCTGACCACAATGGCGTGGCGGCCAGGAGAGATGTGACCGCCTTAGAGCAGCCCTTTGCCTGGCATTGTGCCATCTCCTGCCCAGGCTGCTCTTGCTTGTTTGGGGCACACAGGGACGGGGGCTGGTGCCGCCCAGCAGGGAGCAGGCAGGCCTGGGACGGGCCGCAGGGACGGGGGCTGGTGCCGCCCAGCAGGGAGCAGGCAGGCCTGGGACGGGCCGCAGGGACGGGGGCTGGTGCCGCCCAGCAGGGAGCAGGCAGGCCTGGGACGGGCCGCAGGGACGGGGGCTGGTGCCGCCCAGCAGGGAGCAGGCAGGCCTGGGACGGGCCGCAGGGACGGGGGCTGGTGCCGCCCAGCAGGGAGCAGGCAGGCCTGGGACGGGCCGCAGGGACGGGGGCTGGTGCCGCCCAGCAGGGAGCAGCTCAGTTTATCCAAGAGACTGTTGAGAAATGGGCTGATGGCGGCCCAAAGCCCTGCGCGGGGGAGGTTTGACTGCAGCGAGCTCTTCAATGGAGCTGCACACGCTCCCATGGCTGGAACCTGAAGCAGAGCCAATCCAGGCGTGGCAGAGGGGGCAGCTGTCTCACGGGGGGGCATTAACCACTGACACCGCTGACCGAGGGGTGGGGTCCTTTACACCAAGGCGGGGGGCCGTCTTAGAGGATGCGCTCTGACCTCAAACAGGCTGCACCCAGGAGTTGCTGGGTGAGTGTGTCTGGCTTGGGTGGCACGGCGGGTCAGACCAGACGCTCAAGGGGGTCTCTGAACCGACCGTCGCGGCGCAACAGACGCGCTCCTGCTGCCGTCTCTAGTAACGTCTGTGGGCTTTGCCGCAGGCTCTTCCTTGTGACAGGAAATCGAGCCTCTAAGAGCCGCTGCCTGTAGCGCCCGGACGGCGCTGCCCGTTCGCGCCAAGGGAGAACTCTGCTTTCCGGGCGGAGCGGTCTGACCCTGCCTCGGGTGCATGGCCACGATTGTTTCATCGACACATCAGGCTCCCGGCCACGCCCCCAACCAGCACACACATTGAATGCGCTGCATTCGATATCTGGGGAGCACCCACCCCTGAGAAGTCTGGACTCCCCCATTGACCCAAAATGGCTCCTGCGACAACTGGTCTCCAGTCATCTGAGGACTAGCACAGACCTCGGCAGGTGTCATCGTGAACAGCCGCACGGGAAGGCACAAAAGCCAAGGTCAAGGGCTGGAATTTATTTCTGTTTTGCACGATACTTGGGTTAAAGTACGATGCATTTTATGAGTCATGTAGGGTCCACACCCGTACAATCATCTCAACTATCTATCCGGATTGCTGGGGCTGATCTTTTCCTGGCTCGAGAGGGGAAAATCTGTGAGGGCGACACAATGTGAGCGCTAAATCCCATTCGTTTTCCGTCCACAGATTCATGCCCCTTTGCTGTTTGAGCTTGGTTATCTTTCCCTGCCTGGGTCTTCTCTAGATATGACCCCCTTCCCCTTCATTTCTGAACATCCGGGGGCCATAACCATCCATGGGCTAACATAATCTTTGTGCTAAGCATCACAGCCAAAAGGAACTTTACAGAAGCAAAACTCAAATCCTCCTGCTTCAGCAACACAGGTCTGTAGCACTGAGCTAAAGGAGAATCCCTAGTGCCAGCAATATAGGGCCTATGATGCACAGCTGAGCAGCCCTGATTCTCTCCAGTGGAAGGTAGTGATGCTACATACACACTAGCCACTTTCTCAATATGTTTTTGTCATATGATTCCCCAAAATGTGTATCCAGGCGTGCTGCCACCCACAGATTTGTATTATAGCAGCTGCCACCAGGGGGCGCTGTTCCACGGTCTGAGTGTACGAGCAAGTTTGGAGGCTTAAGAAGACAGCAATGGTGTTAATTTTGGCTGCTGCCAGGTTTTTGTGTCGGGACAGCTTCAGGAGAGAGGGGGCTGTGAGAGCAGCAGGGGAATTTGCTGCCAGTCCTGGGCTCTGATTTGAGTCAATCTTTGATTTGGAGCTCCTTCTGGCAGGGCCGCATGATGACTTTCGTGGGCCCTAGGCACTTTGGCCTTCGTGGGCCCCTCCCACCATATCAATATTAAAAATTATTTTTGATATAACTTTAAATACTTCAACATTTTATTTTATTTTTCTGTTTTAGCAAAATTTAATAGATTTTCGTGAGCCCTAAAAGTTTCATTTTTTTCTGATGTGAGAAAAAAATTAAAACATTTTCTTCAACCCTAAAAGTTCATTTTTTTTCTTCTGATTTTAAAAGAAATTAAAACATTTTCGTGGGACCCTAAGAATATCGTGGGCCCTAGGCACTGTGCCTACTGTGCCTACTGGGTAAGCCGGCCCTGCCTCCTGGGATGTAGGCATTCGTGTTGGGCTGAGATTCCAGGTTTGCCCTGCACGCACTTTCCCCACCTCTGTCCTGGAGCAGGTGTATATGTGTGAATAAAACAAGATACACTCAGGATCTGTCCATAGCCTGCACAGCTGCCTTTTTCCTCCACCGGGAAGCTGACCTGCAGGGCCCTGGACATCAGCTACTGCTTGGCAGAGGGGTAGCTCTGGGGTCAAACTGGATTACTGGTGTCAGGAGAATGAGCAGCATTTTCATGCTCATTTGTGACTCCTGCTTTTTGTGCTTCTCTCTAACATGTAACTACCCCTCCCCTCTCCGCAGGGACAGGAAAGTGTCCTTCATGCAGACAGCCTTCTGGCCTTTGAGGAACCCAAGATCAACCCCACAGCTGAAGAGCAGCTCAGAGTCCAGGAAAACATTCCTGAGGAGTTGAAGGAGGAATCGCCCCCAGAGATGGACAGAGTCACCAGACACCTGATCTTCCATATCCCTCACACGAGCCCCAAACACAGCCCCCACCATGACAGCTGGTCTGCAGAGCTGAGCAGCCAGGATGCTCCCTCCAGCCATGGCAACCAGAAAGATACAAATGGCCACGACTGGAGACCCAGCTCTCCACCAGAAGCCAGATCTGAATTAGCAAGCCCCCTGGAGGCTGGAAGGGATCTTTGGACTCCCCCTCCAGACAGAGAGTCCAAGCTGGGGCTCGTGAAGTCCGGGATGTTGTACAACATCAGGACTTATAAAGAGGAGAGGAAGCCCAGCAAGCTGTACTCGGATGACGAGGAAGAGCCGAGTTCCCCGCACAGCCGTGTGGCCATCTCCCCCGAGAAAGCCAGAGAACTGGAAGAGGAAAGGAAAGCCGTCATCCAAAGCCAGGTGGTAAGAAGATGTTCCACCGGGGCTGAGAAGCAGAGCTCCGTAGACGAGCCGGATTCTCTAAGCACGGGCTCAGCTGGTAGACACAAGGCGACTCCAGGAGGAGGCTACGTCACCAGCTTTGCCCTTTGCTTCAATAGCCCTTCCCCGGCACACGCGAGGACGACGCCCGTCGACCCCGAGAACGTAGACAGGGAGCAGATCAACTTTGCTGCTGCCCGGCAACAGTTCCTCCTGCTGGAAAAGACGAACCCGACCTCGCTCTTCAGCCCAAGGCAGCGAGTCATGTCTCCAAAGCCAGAATCGACTCAGCACATCTCTGAGGGGGCGGGGAAGGTGTTTATGCATTATGAGGATGTCCCTAGCCAGAGAGAAATCAACGGGTACGATGTGGAGTATAAGACACCCAGGATGGAGGAGCTGCATGCTCCCAAAAAGGCTGGGATGGAAAGGGAAGAGCCCGATGGGAGAACGGCCAGCTTGACCAAAACGTCTTCCAGAGATGACCTGGACTCCGGCTTGGGCGAAATGTCCAACGAGTTCAGCGCGGGCTACGTTAGCGACGGGAGCATGTCCAATGAGGTCTTCCTCGATGCCAGCAGCCAGGATCCTGGCAAGGAGACGCCCATTGAACGGGAAATCCGCTTGGCGATGGAGAGGGAGGAAAGCCTACGGAAAGAGAGAGGGATCCAGAGACTGACGAGCAGCAATGAGCTGGTGGAAATCCAGACCAAGCCCCTCCTCTCCACCTCTCTCTCTTCATCTTCCTCCAGGAAAGTGAAAGACAAAGGCCGTGTTTCCTTCTACGTCCAGAGGGAGATCGAGCAGGAAATCAAGCGGGAGGAAGATCTGAAGAAGGAAGGGAGGCTCCTGGGGACATATGACAAGGGGATGCAGCAGGAACTGGGGGAGCGCAAGAAAGTCTTCGAGCAGGAAGATGCCGCCGCAGCCCCACAAAAACCCGCGTTTGCAAAGAAATCAGAGGCGCTAACAGGGACCTCGAACAGCAAATTTGCCATGGCTGGCAGCTTCGGCCCCAGGGACAGTCAGAGAAGCACAGCAGATGAATGGCCATCTGCCAGCTGCAGCAAACTGGTGGAGGTGGATTCCTCCAGGGCCAGGCAAGCCAGCTCCCCAGAGAGGGCAGATTCCACTGCGTGTCCGGAGGAGAGGGTTGGGCTGCCCGAGGAATACTTCACCACTCGGTTCTGGAAACCCAAGGTCTCCTTTGTGAGCGAGGAGGGGGCGCCGGGCCCGCTCGGAAAGGAAAAGGTGCTGGAGCCAGCGGGCCCCCAGGCGGACCAGTACACGCTGAAGAAGTGCAAGCCCCAGACCTCCTGGCTGATCGAGGAGGAGATCCGGAGCGACATGCAGAGAGAACAGGAGCTGCAGGAGCAGCGGAGGGGCAGGCTGCTGACCGATGACAGCTCTGCCCTGGAGAAAGGCTTCTGGTCTCAGCGCTCGTCTCAGAGCTCAGGTGAGGAGAGCAGCAGAGCGATGGGGCATCACCCCCAGCACAGAGTCAGCTGGAGTCCTGTGTAGCACTGACGTCCTTGTGCTCAGGACCCCTTTGATCTGCCCTGGCTGCTGAAAGGGGCCTTAGGGTGGGTGGAAACCAGGGATGTAAAATCCCAGTTAATCAGGTAAGTGGTTAACCCTAGGCCTAAGCTGGGTTCCACCAGGAGAGCAGCAGAGCGATGGGGCATCACCCCCAGCACAGAGTCAGCTGGAGTCCTGTGTAGCACTGACGTCCTTGTGCTCAGGACCCCTTTGATCTGCCCTGGCTGCTGAAAGGGGCCTTAGGGTGGGTGGAAACCAGGGATGTAAAATCCCAGTTAATCAGGTAAGTGGTTAACCCTAGGCCTAAGCTGGGTTCCACCAGGGGAACGCTCCAGCCCAGCTGGTTTCTAACTCCCAGGCCCTCTATCTGCAGGGCTGCCACTCCCAGCTCCCCCGCACACGGGTGGCCAACACCCAGCCCCTGCTAGGCGGGGCAGGCCACCGGTGTTTTACATCCCTAGAGGATTTTTGCCCTCTGGACGCACTAAAGTGGCCTCCCTGGCTGGCCCAGCTCCCAGTGTACTGGGTGGGTTGGAACAATGGCCACCCACCCCTGAGCGGAATGAATTTTGTTATGCGCACCAGTGCGGAGGTGAAGTGGGACCCATCAAGGGGGCCAGGGGTTCTGGGTGTGGAAGGGGGCTCAGGGCTGGGGCAGAGTTTGGGGGGCAGGGCTGGGGATAAGGAGGGGGCTCAGGGCTGGGGGCTGGGATGCAGGAAAGGGTACAGGCTCTGGGCTGTGGGGTGGGGCCGGGGATGAGGGCTTTGAGGTACACGTGAGTTCAGGGCTGGGTGGTTCATGGTGGGGCAGGAGGGTTGACTTCAGGCTGGGGACAGTGAGGAGGGCGCCTTCCCCTGGCCACAGCAGCTCCATGCTGAGACCAGCTTGGGGAGAGATTTCTCTTCCCTGCTGCAGCCCTGAGCCGCTGCCCGGGGCTGACTGGGAAGCCGCCCAGCCACAGCCCCACGCAGAACTCAGCCCGTAACACACGGCATGGGAGGAATTCTGTGCTGCCAAGGGCCCTGAGGGCTCATGGGAAATGAGAACAGCCCCAAGGCTGCTCTCACTTGCCCCAGGAATTGGGCTGGGCCCTGCAGCCCCAGAACCGCGGGAGCAGCCTGCCCTGCCCTGAGCCCAGAGCGGAGTAACTGAATCTAAAGGTCATGGCGCGAGCCCCATCTCGAGCAAACAGGCCACTCCCCAAGGAGCTCCAGGTCTGACTCAGGCAGGTGCCATGCCCGTTTGCTCATTCCTCTCTCCTGTCAGCCTGCCTCGCGGGGGATCCGCTCAGCTGCAGCCGACCAACCAGGGCCAAGGTTAGAAATGCCAGGTCCCCTCCACCCCCGGCTCTGGGGCAAACATCCCCGCTCAAAGCGGCTCCACCCTGCAAGCACTTCCCGCAGGAAGCCTGTGTCCTGTGCGCAAACAGAGCCTGGCGTGTCCACGGCACTTAACCCTCCTTAGGCAGGGCACAGAGCAGCGCGTCCAGAGCCCGCTGGCATCCAGGCAAGTCTTTCCGCCGGGCTCCGTGGCTGGGCTCCCGTCAGGCTGCCTGGGAAGAGACGACAGATCCAGGGCTGGAGGTGCTCAGATTCCGGTTGGAACTCTGGGCTCAGCCCAAAAGAAACCCCAAGACCTTTTGGCTCCGGTGGGCCACTGCCCTCTGGAAATGCACCCTGGAATCTGCTCCCTCTACACCTCTGCCTTTCTCTTTAAGTCGCCTCAGGCATTGCCGACAGCTACGAGGTGACTCAATCGCCCGTCTTCGTTCCTGCCTCGCACCAGGCAGGGGTGGCGAGGGCAGCGTCTCCACCTAGCGTGCCCAGTCCCTACTGGGGCTACACAGGCAGACTGGCCTCTGAATCCGCCCACGACGGTCCCACGCGGGCCCGGAGGGATGAGAAGCCCAGGAAGCTGAAGGACGACAAGAGGGTGAGCGCTCCAGCCTGGCAGCCTGGGGCTGGAACGGAGTTGGTGCCGGGCGGGGGCGGGGGACCCATGGCCATGCAGCTGCTCAGGTTTCACAGGCACAGAGAGTTGTCAGCGCTGCGCACGGTGCTGATGTGGAAGCAGAGGCTGAGCCCTGTTTCACGTGGAAGCCCTGGATCGCTGGGGAAGGCACCAGGCCAGGCCTTTGGAGACCAGGGGTCTATTCCTGGCTCTGCTGCAGATTCACTGCATGTGACTCAGCTCAGCTACCCACCTGAGAAACCTGCCTGCGTCCCAGGCCTGCGGGGAGGATTCTCATCAACGGGTGCCTGGATCCTGCGGGGCTGCGGCTGGCTGGAGAGCGCAGCACCTGCACCGACTGAGCTCGGATCTGTGCCCGTCAAAGGTGTGCCCAGCCCACGGGCCTGCCCCGGCTCACTTGGATTTCGCTAGCTCCGTCACAACAGCAGCGACGCTGCAGCGGCCCAGGTGAACCGCTAGCATAGGTACCCAGCCCGCCCGGCCGCAGCTCCCCCGCTGGTGTCCTTGGAGCCAGGGAGAGCAGAGCTGTGCCGGGCAGGTCCCACACAAGCTGCCGTCACCCCTCTGCCAACAGGGTGGACACACTGCGGCCTTGCCAGGGTGGGCAGCGTGAGATCCCTCCGCACCCAGCCGGCACGTGCCCTGTTCCTCCCCACCCACTGAGATGGACCGACCGCTGTGCACGGGTCTGTGCTCCACAGCCACGCAGGGCCTCGCACACGCAGGGCCTCGCACACACAGAGCCTTGCACACACAGAGCCTAACTCATGCAGGGCCTCGCACACGCAGAGCCTCACACACGCAGGGCCTCGCACACGCAGGGCCTCGCACACACAGAGCCTTGCACACACAGAGCCTAACTCATGCAGGGCCTCGCACACGCAGAGCCTCACACACGCAGGGCCTCGCACACGCAGGGCCTTACTCACACAGAGCCTCGCACACACAGGCCAAAACTCCCTGAACCTTTCCCTCACTCACATTTTATGCCGGCCTAGCGCAGTCAGGGGGGTTGCATTCTCTTTATCCCGCTCCCCGTTTCTCTGCCGGGTTCCTCCCGTCTGACCCTTTCTTTCCCTCCTGCAGTACGCCAGCATTGAAGCAATCGATGACGTCAACGCGGAGGTAAAGTAGATCTGACCCTTAAGCGCTGCCTGTCCACTTGCCCTGCTGCTCTGACCAGCCTCCCATACCCACAGTGTCCAGGCCACGCCTGCCTTTCTCTGGCACCTCTTCCTGGGGCCCCAAGAGCAGCAGTCAAGTGGACAGGCAAAGGGCTGTGGCTGTGGCATGCAAAGGGCAGGGTGCCGGGCAGGGAACGGGTTAACAGCCTGTCCTTGCTGGGTGTAGCTGCTGTGTCTGGCTTGCAGGGAGGAAGTGATTCCATTAGGAGAGGGAAATGAGAGTCTCTCCCTGCCAAGTCAGACCAGCCTAGGAGCCAGCCCCAGCTGGGACTAGTAGTGAACTGATTAGAAATGGCCTGACCCAGACAGCCTCCAGCACCGGGGAACATCAGATCAGAATCCAGCCCCCGGCCGAGACTCCTTTGCTGAGCCTGGGTCTCTGGACAGCTTCGGGAAGCCCTTATCCATACTGGAATCCAACTCGAGGTTTGTTTTGTGAGCTCTGGCTGGAGTGGGGAGGGGGAAATTCATTTTCTGCCCTCCCCCCGCCCCTTGTACACCCTTTGGATTGGCAGTGCCGACTAACCTCTCTCGGCACACACCACAGATGCACCATGTTCAATTCCTAACGTTTCACACCCTCTGATGGTTAAGAACGGTTAGTGAATTATACCGGAAACAGACAGAGCCTTGATTCTCTGCTGCTCTGCACCTTGTGCTGGGGTTCCCTCTGTGCGGGGAGCAAAAGGTAATTGGGCCCGAATGACAACAGATTACACCCGCCTGGCACTGGTGTCACAGATGGCAGCGGTGCAGCGAGCCAGGCCTGTGGTGTTCAGTGCCTTTCCACGCAGCGGCTTAGGCCTGGTGTCCACAGAAAGGCTGCAGAGAGCTGGTCTCTGCTGGGGATAGAAAATTCTTCTCCAAACTGCATGTATTAATAAAGAGCATCTTCCGCGCCAGGCAGCTTACGGGGGCTGGCTAAACCCAGCACTTAAGCGAGGAGGATGTAGCCAAGCATGGGAGGGAGGAGCAGGTTGCCAGAGGCACCTCATGAAAGCTCTCAACTGCTCCTGGAACAGAAGAGGAAGGACTGGCAGCCTGGTGATTAGGGGCTAGCCTGTGACTTGGGAGTCAGAGTTTAAGACCAGAGGGGATCACTAGATCACCTCGTCTGAACGCCTGTACATCACAGGTCACTATCATCACCCAGCACTCTCACACTGACCCAACAATTGGGATGAGACCTAAGTAGTACAGCTCTCAGGAGACTATGCTGTTCTGTGCCATAGGCAGAGAAGGAGGATCTGACGTGCTCCAGTGCCTGAGGTCCCCATGGTGGCAGGGGAATAATTCAGTGAGACTCACGTGCCATTTCCTGCTCTGCCACAGACTTCCTGTCGGCCCATGGGCACCTCACTTAATTCCACAGCTGTAAGTCAGGGGTAAAGCACTCCGCTGCCTAAAAGGCAGGGCTAGGTTGGTAAATACACTACAGCATGAAAAGCTTAGACACTGCATGGAAGTATAACAGATAGATCCTGCTTCCTCATTCTTCACACAGAGGACAGGATGTAGCTGGAAAGGTATCAGTAGCCTAGCCATGTTCAGTGCTTATTTAAGGCACTTTCCCTGCAACATCTGCCTCTGATCCATGGAACTTCTGGTGTCCTGAGGTCAATAGCCACGGTCACAATGATTCTGACTTCACTTGCTTGCTGTCTGTCTGTCCTCCCAGTGAGGCTAAGTCTAG